CTTCCCCCCCCCCCCCCCAAAAAAAAAAAAAAATTACTCCATAATACAGAGTAAAATTTAATCAAAACTTGTTATTCATAAAACGACAAATTTGTGGTAAAATGGAACCAAGGGTGTAAATAGTGAAGGTTTCATAAAAAAAAACTCGATGAAATAAGTGGTATTCCGTATACAAATACGGAGTATAATAATTTAATAAATGATTAACAAAAATAAGTAAGAAAAAGAAGAAAAGGATTCATGAACAACGTACTAGATACATAAGGTAGTTTTTATATGTAATTAAGGTAGGGATGAACTCATGAACATAAGGACTAGACTGGACTTCAGAAAGACTATTTTGGATGAGATCGGCCTTTTCTTTTTGTAGTTGGTTCGAACTAATTCGTTTTTGTGAAAACAATATGGATTTTTTTAAGAGCAGATGGTTTCGCTCTAGACCTGGCAAAAAGTGACCCGACCTGTTTTTGACCCGAAACCCGACCTGAAAACACTAGGTTTTGAACAAAGGTTTTGATGACCGAACCCGAAGTTGACCGAACCCGAAATGACCCGCTAAAAATGGGTCAAACCCGACCGAACCCGAACCCGACTTGACCGACCCGCTAAAGTAAGAATTTTTCAAAATTATACACTTTTTTACTCGTTTTTAGTGTATAAATTTATATTTTCAGACAAAATTTTAATAATATTGCATAATTATCTTACTTTCTTCCAAAACTTAAGCATTTTTAAATTCCTTATATTGATTTATATATCTAAAAACTACTTTAGAGTTTAAAATAAAATAATTTTATAGATTTAATACTTTTATTTGATAGTTTAAGTTTATTTAATAGAAAATGTAAGTGTTAATGTGAATTTAAAAATTTGAAAAACCAAAGTCATAACCCATTGGGTCGACCCGAACCCGATGATACTGGGTCATGAACATACAGTTATCAACCCGAACCCGAATTGATCCGAACCCAAAATAACCCGAACTTGAAGTGACCGAACCCGAACCCGACCTGACCGACCTAATTTATTTTTAATTTTTTAATCTTTAAAAATGTAAAATAGATAATCGGGGTAACAATTTAATTTCAATTATCATAATTTTGTTGATTTATGCAAAATACTCGGTAATTTTGCAAATTAACAATCTCGTAATTAACAATCTCGTAATTAAGAATTTGCCCCTCAAATTAGAAAAATATTCATAAATTCAACATTGAACACCATTGGAGCGAACTCAACTAAGAAGGCAGAAGCTGCAGACTTGGAGAGGAAGAGATTCCGTCGCATTCCTCCAACCACACGCCACTGCACATCCAACTAGCTTCTCGGCGAACTCATTTTTATCGGTTTGATGATGATTTTATGATTTTGTTTATTGAATTACAACTGCTCATCCCTCACGGCAATCTCTGAAACCCTAATTTTCACGTGTAAATCCATCTTCTTCTTCTTCTAAGGTTATGATGGAAGTCGACTTGTCAGAGTATCGGTTGAGATGCCAGCTCCGAGGGCACGAAGACGATGTAAGTTATCACTCTCAGCTCATTTTCACTGAATCAGCTCAACCTTTTCATTTTTTGTTTGCTTGAGTCGCATGTGCTTTTTTCTCAGTCTTATCACAGTTTATTTGGTTAAAACAGTGCGGGATATGTATATTATGCATTGTCTACTGTAGCGGATGATTCAACATTTCCATTTAGAATGATTAGATCTACCTTTGAGTAGCTAAATTAGTGCATAGGTTTACATGCAATTCTTGATGTAGTATATTTAGGTTGAGTGGCTGCCATGGCAGTCCAACGGGGGGAGGTGGAAATATAGCACGCTGCCATACACAATTTGTAAATAATAGCTGGGTTATAATGGCCTATGTCGGGTTGTGGCGATGGAATTTTTGACATCCGCCATTGATAGCACTGTCAAGATTTGAGAAGACATGATGTGTATCCACATAGCTGAGTTTGGGGCACACCAAGGATACCGCCAAGTGACCCCTGTGAATGAAAAGATACACATATGGATTATCTAGCACATTTTAGGTGAATTTCTTTTGACACGTGACAATGCAAACTTATTTTGGATCATTGCATCATTTTAAATATTTAGGTTCGTGGTATATGCATATGTGAGAATACTGGAATTGCAACTTCATCAAGAGATCAGACCGTTAGGTTCTGGTCACCAGACGGCTCAAACAACCGTGGCTACACCATGTCAAAGATATTATTGGGCCATACTAGTTTTGTGGGCCCATTGGCATGGGTCTCTCCCAATGAGGAATATCCAGAGGGTGCAGTTGTTTCTGGAGGCATGGACACACACATTTTTGTGTGGAATTTGGGAACTGGTGAGAAAATTCAAGAGCTGAAAGGCCATAAGATGCAAGTTACCGGCATTGCACTGGATGGCTCAGATATTCTATCCACTTCTGTTGATTGGTAAGTTCTCATGTTTTAATCTTTTGTTGTAGTTTTTGGCCATTTGCCACAGTAGTAATAGCTAAGGCATAACTTTGTTGTTTTGTTATGCATATGGATTTGGTTCTACTTGATTCTCTTGAGCTGTAAACTTGTTATATTATTTTTCTTCCCATTGCAGTACATTACGGCGGTGGAGGAGAGGCAAACAGATGGAAGTTATGGAAGCTCATAAAGCACCCGTTCAAGCAATTATTAAGTTGCCTTCAGGAGAGCTTGTGACTGGTAGGATTGAAATTCATCTTAAGGTCTTAACTAGTTGCCTCTACATTTGTATTTTTCATGATTCATGAACTTAATTAGGTCAACGGTGCTGGTCTATACCTCTCCAATGAATATTGTGTGCCCCCACAGAGTTCATAGCATTGCATTTTGAGAGCATGCCGCCTCTCAGAGTTACCATGTTTGAAATAAATATAATATACAGATATTTACTTTGATCATTATGATGATTAGGTTCAAGTGACATGACATTAAAGCTTTGGAAGGGTACCACATGTGCGCGAACTTTTGTTGGCCATACAGGTTTGTTTGTGTGAGTGGTTGTGAACTTAATATTAGAATGGAATGACACCTATTCATTATTTTTAAATCAAACAACATTACTGAGTCAACCCTTTGTTGGATTCTAATTTTACTTTTAAAAATCCTTGGTCACACATCAATGACACTCTCAGATACAGTTCGAGGCTTGGCTGTGATGCCTGGTTTAGGAGTCCTATCCGCATCGCATGATGGGTAGGTTTTGCTCTTTTTTTCCCTTTTTGGCTGCTGCTCTTTCATGACCGCATGGTTATCCTTTTGGTCCGTGTAAGTGGGCCCACATGAGTTGGGACAAGCTTAGTTGTTGTTTCCGTCACTGCTTTTTCATGAAACTTAATAAGCTACACTTATTTCGTGGTGGAAACACTTGCAATAATTTTTTTGGAGGCAGTTGTTAAACTACAAGTCATAAAAGGATCTTGAACTCTACTTTAATGTTAAAATTCTAAAACTTTTATGCTTGATCTTATACTTTTATGTTCATCTAACCCAACATCCATCTAATAGTTCAACATGTTTGATGAATTTGCAGTTTTATAAAAACCTCAATGTGCATTTAATTTTGTTAGTGTTAGTATGATTACTTTACAATACTCTCTCCATCCGTAAATAAGCCTCACCTTTACTATTAGTCAAACTATATCTTCTCTCTTATTTGCTTTAATCATTTGTTGTTATAAAATAGTCAAACCACCTCTTGTTTATAGAGTTATTATTCTGCAGTGCTGAGGCTCATGTTCTTTTGTATCTTAGTTCATCAATAGTTTTCATTCAATGTTATGATTATTTGATGGCAGTTCCATTAGGCTGTGGGATCTTAGTGGTGAAGTGTTGATGGAAATGGTTGGTCACACTTCAATTGTCTACTCTGTTGATGCTCATGTATCTGGGCTTATTGTCAGTGGCAGCGAGGATTGTTTTGCTAAGATATGGAAAAGTAATTTTTATAACTAATATTTTACATTCTTCGTATATTAATAATTTCTATGACTAATGTTTCCTTATGAGATTTTCTCTCTCTTCGTGTTTTGTAGATGGAGTTTGTGTCCAGAGCATACAGCATCCTGGTTGTGTTTGGGATGTTAAGTTTTTGGAAAATGGTGATATTGTAACTGCATGCTCTGATAGAATAGCACGCATATGGACATTGCACCCGGATAGGATTACTGACCCTCAAGAAATAGATGCATATGAGAATCTACTTAATCAGTACAAGTGCAGTAGGTGTGAATACTGAAAGCTTATAATCTTTGCATATAGAAGCTTTTTATTGTTTATTTTAAGTGGTTATTTACTTGCTTAAATTGGTTAAGATAATGACCTTTCCCTTAGCCGAACTTTTAATGAATTGGCCTAAACATGTTTGTGTTCCTAATAAATTTCCATAGGGACACTTTTTGTGGATTTAGGCTACAAGTTTCCCAATTTCCTTTCCTAAGAAGTGTTCAATGGTCACTAAACATTTTTTGGCAGTAATATACGGAGTATGAAACATTTACCTTGGAGACACATTTCCATAGATTAAACAGATACTACATTGTAATAGAGTCAATGACACTAAAAAACATGAATGTGCAGCTTCTATGTGTATGCAGTTTTTATCAATGAATTCCTCTATTCGTGGATAGTAAAGTAAACTCGTACTGGTTATGGGATGCAAAAAACATTTACTAGACACGGGCTTAAATAAAGACTTGTCATTTTTGTCTTAGGAAGAAAGTTGGAGGAATTAAATTGGAAGATTTACCTGGCCTGGAATCTTTGCAGACCCCAGGTTAAATTTTACCTGTATCTTTGAGAAAGTACTTATGGTAAATTGTTGATAAATTTTGCCTCACAGTATGTTGCTTACCTTTACTCTAATTCACTCTCTGCACAGGCAAGAGTGATGGGCAGACAAAAGTTGTTCGGGAAGGGGACAGCGGTGTAGCATATGCATGGAATATGAGGGAATATAAGTGGGATAAAGTGAGATTCATTCTTCCGTAGATTAATAATCAGATGGTTTGTCTTTGAATTGTGTGATTTAATTTATGTTTGCTTTATGTGGACTCCTCCTAGATTGGTGAAGTAGTTGATGGACCTGATCAGGGCATGACACAATCTTTGCTTGATGGAGTTCCTTATGACTATGGTTAGGATTTTTACACAAACCTATCTCTGCTTTTGTGGTGATTTCAGTCAATTATTTTGCAATAAGTTCGGTGATGCTTTTCGCCTTTAGTTTTTCTATGTTGCTTTTGCAGCATAGCTTGCTTTGCTATTCATAGCAAATTTTTATATCTTTTTTGGATCAGTGTTTGATGTTGATATTGGTGATGGTGAGCCTGTCCGTAAATTGCCATACAACCGGAAAGGTATATTCGTTGGTTTCATATTTATGTTTTCAGTTAGTGCTGAATATCAAGATTAAAATATGCTTTTACAAAAAAGAGGTTTCCCAATGCCATTTTTGGCTTTATTCCATTTCTAGTACTAGCTTATGATGTTTGCTTTTATTTACAATATTACAACTTTTGGTCGAAGTATCTGATCTAATTTTCTAGGCTGGAGGGAGAGCCTGCTTATTATCTTCTCTTTCCTTATTGAACATAGTAACTGTTTTCCTGGATCATCATTTTCATTCAAATTGTTAACATGTTTACGGGAATTTTCTGTTTATTTACAGATGATCCATATACTACTGCTGACAATTGGCTGCTTAAGGAGAATCTGCCTCTTTCATATCGTGCGCAGATTGTTGATTTCATTTTGCAAAATACTGGACAGAGAAATTTTACTCCGGATCCATCATTCCGCGACCCCTTCACCGGCGGTAAGATCAAATATAGTGTACTTTTGATGTGATAACCATTGGCATCAGTTACTTGAATCCCATTAGACCTTATTCCTTTTTTTCTTTTAATTTTTTCCTTGGCTTTTATTTACTCTTAATAATTATTGCATCTCCTCTCATTTCAGCCAATGCTTATGTTCCTGGAGAAACTTCAAAAACTCTGGGTTTGTAACTTTGTATCATTATTGCCACTAAACCTTCAATTTTTAAATTTGTTTTCTGTAACTGATAACTTAGTATTTGTTCATTGTGGCGTAATAGGCACTACTGCAGCAAAACCTACTCCCAAGCATGTCCCAAAGGTCATTATATCTTGTCTAGACTCTAGACTCTAGACTTTGGCTCCAATGGCTAGGACTTAGGGTTCTCTTTAACGATTTTTTTCTGAGATATTAACATTTTTTCCCAGAAAGGAATGCTTGCATTTGATACGGCTCAGTTTGATGGAATTCTGAAGAAGATTTCAGAATTCAATAGCAGTCTACAGTCTGACTCAGTAATAACTAAACAAAAATTTCAAAAATGTTCTATTTTCTCATTATTTCATCTTGTAAGTTTTACTCCATTATCTTGACTTGTCCTTTTGACTAATTGTTATTTATTGAAGGAGAGAAGTAATTTGTCATTAAATGAGGCTGAGATGTCAAGATTGGCGGCTATTGTTAAAATTCTTAAGGACACATCACACTATCACAGCAGTAGATTTTCAGATATCGATCTTGCACTGGTTTTGAGGTTGCTTAAGATATGGCCACCATCAATGCTATTTCCTGGTAATCCTCTGGTTATAAAGTATAATGCTTTCCATTAGAATATGTAGATTACAGGATTTCATGGGTGCCGTCATTTACTATCCTATTCTAATGTTACTGGCGTTTGCCTTTCCTCCAATCCATCCCTAATCACATGTTTTGCGTTTCCTACAATATTATTTAATTACAGCGAATTTTTGTTGTTTATGTCCATTGCCAATGGAGCTAAAATGGCCGTAATTGACACTGTTAGTTTTGGGTGAATAATGGGTTAAATCAAAGTGGCACATTAAACTTCCTTTGCTTCTTACTCTCAATGAATTTTTGGATAGTAAATGCAACAGCGCATCTAGGGCCTAATGGAAACAGTGTCTTTGTATTTCACAGGGGTAGGGTGCGGCTGGGTTGTTGTTTTCAAATGTCTATTTAAAGTTTGATGACGGGTTCACTTATTTGCTTCTTTCTTTTGGCAGTGATTGATATCTTGAGGATGTTAATTTTACACCCTGATGGGGCAAATAACCTACTCAAACAGCTCAACAGTGATAATGGTATTTGCAGAATTATCTATCATAGGTTGTCAAATGATTAGTTTATGCTTTACATACAGGATCAATGTCATTCCATTCTGCTCCTTACAAGTCTTTTTTTATTCGCTCTCGTGCCAATTTATGCTGTTTTATTTTGTAATCACCAGATACACTTGTAGAGCTGGTCAAGAAGGTCACAGTGAACCCTCCACTCCCTGCAAATCTTCTAACAAGCATCCGTGCTGTGACTAATCTATTCAAGAATCCATCCTTCTGTGATTGGTTACTAAAGCACCGTGGAGAGGTTGCAATCTTCATTTAAATAATGAATGCTATAGAGATTCAAATTCAAAATTCTTATAAGTTTAATTGCCAATGGCATGTCAAGTGATTATATATTCCACCATCATTTATTCTTTGTGGAGGTGCTGCTTCTATGCTGCTTTATATCTTCAAATTAACGATGTCTACTATACCTAAGAACATGGTCCATTCCATTTAGAATCTAGGATATCTATGGCCACTCCTAGGCATATCATTTAGCTAGCTATTTTTTGTGCTCTCACTTTTTTATATCTATCATCTATTGCATTAACATCTTTCCTTGGTGCTCCTAGTCAACATTTCCTTCTGCAACAACAACAATAAAGCCTTATTTTGTGTGCAGATTTTCAACATTTCCTTCCGCAATTGTGATCGGTTTATTTTGTGTGCAGATTTTAAATGCTTTCTCCAGCTGTTATCTAACCACAAATAAAAATTTACAACTGTCTTATTCGACATTGGTACTCAAGTAAGTCGTGATATGATTCTTGTCTCTACTACATGATGCAAGGATTTATGTTTGATTAAACTTAGTCACCTTTTGTTGGATATTTAGCTATGCTGTTCTTTTGATTGAAAAGAAAGACGAGGAAGGGCAATCTCAAGTTCTTTCAGCAGCACTTGAGGTACCATTACTTTCATTTATTTACTTTGTGATGATTCTTATCTGATGCATACCCAATTCCTTCTGTTCCTCACCAACCTAAGTTTTTTATACGCATTAATTGATATCGCCTCAAAATTTGGGTAAAGATTGCAGAAGAGGAAAGTATTGACACGGATTCAAAATTCCGAGCTCTAGTCGCAATTGGATCACTGGTAAGTTCAGAAATATATACTTGCAGTTTTTCCTCTTCAAGTGTGCGTAAACAACAACCACCACCATCATCTAAATACTAAATCATGTGAATATCACAGATGCTTGAGGGCGTAGTTGGAAAAATAGCCTTGGATTTGGAGGTTGAAAATATTGCCAAGGCGGCTAGGGCGTCGATGGATACCAAGATGGCTGAAGTAGGAGCTGACCTTGAACTGATAATAAAGCAACAGACCTCCTGATTGTTTGGGAACATATATTGCGGACCGCCCCTCTTCTCACCGTTTTCTGCAAAATCAAACGTGGAGGTAAGGTTTAAGGGCAAAGCACCTTTTCAAAGTTCTTTTTTTAACATTCTATGAAAAGAATGGTAGAATGTCTGTATTGTGGATCTTTAATGAAAGTGTTTTGTGGTCGATACGCCGCAAAAAGTATTACTCCTTCCGACTCTGAATTCATTCCATGGTTTTACTTCCATGTATTTCAAGAAGATTTAATCTTAATTTGGGGACGGAGTGAGTATTTACTTTTTGTTATTACTGGCCCTATTCTTTTTTTGAACTAAATCTACAGTTTTACTTCACGTATTTCAAGAAAGAGTGACTTTGATTTGGAGAGGGAGAGAGTATTTTTTTTACAGCTCTATTACAATGTAGTATTTGTTCATACATTTTCAACTTAATGATGCACAAAGAGTCAATGTTTCTGCTGTGCTGGGGCTCGAACTTGGGTGCACTTCATGAATCCTGAGTAGTGGGCTTCGTACCACTCATGCTAGGGGAGAAGTTTCTTCAGTGTCATATTATACCCAAGTGATTTGGAAGTGCTAATGTACTTCGTTGGGTAGGATAACGGAGCCTACCCCTTGCCCTGTCTATTATGTTCCTCCCCTCCCCCTTTGACGTTGTCCATCCCCTCTTATGTTTCCCGTTGATGTACCCTTCCTCGTGCGGCAAGCACCCTCGCCCTCTCGTAATCCATCCCCTTTGGTCATCGGCTTAACAAAGCCATGGTTCTTAATCACCTAGTGTTAGAATATGACATTGAAATTTATTACTCCCTCCGTCTCAATTAAAATTGTCTGCTTCAGTTTACAGTGTTTGACTGAAATTATTTTTATATCATTTTATATAAAAATATTGTAGAATTAAAAAATAAAAATTACATGTTTAAAAAATATATAAAAAAATGTACTCCCTCCGTCCCAAATTATAATGCATGTTTACTATTCAGAGGTTCAAACTTCATTTATTTTTTTTTCTCTATTTTCGTTAGTAATTTGATAAAATAAAATATTGTTGTCACTACTAGTTTTGTAGATCTTTTGATGTAGTATTTTGATATGTAATTTTTATTTTTTTACTCTATAACATTTGTCATATAAAATGATTTGAAAATAATTTCAGTCAAACATTGTAAACCGAAACATGCATTATAAAATGGGACGGAGGGAGTATAAAACTAGTGGTGATATGACTATTTTATTTTATCAAATGACTAATGAAAATAAGAAAAGAAAATAAATGAAGTTTGATCCTGTTAATAGTAAATATAGAAGGTAGTTGAATAGTAAACATGCAAGAGATTACTTTGCCAATTGGGAATTTGGGTACATATATTACAATAAGATGTACTCTTTCTCTACCAAATTAAGTTACATATTTATTATTTACAAAGTTGAATTTTATTCATGTTATTTCTTTATTTTTGTTACTCATTTGATAAAATAATAGTCATGCCGATTCTTTTTACTAAATACTCTTTTCGTTCCAATTTAAATTGTCTGTTTCGGTTTATGATGTTTGATTTTTAAATATTTACAAAACTAGTGATATGACTACTATTTTATGTATAATCAAATATCTAATTAAAATAGGATAAGTGAATAAAATTTGATCATGCAGATAGTAAACATGCAATTTAATTTGGGATGGAGTGAGTAATTTTTATTTTTAAATTTTTCACATATTTTTACTTATATTGATTTGAAAATAGCTTTAATCAAATATCATAAACCAAACAGAATTATTTTGGGACGGAGGAGTAATTTTTTGAATATTATTAACTCAATTACAATATAATATCTATTTATATTCTTCACAATCTAATGATGCACAATGAGCTAATGTATCTACCTTCGCTAAAGGTTCAAACTTGAGTGAATTTCCCATTAATCTTGGTGAATGAACTTCTTACCACTCAAATCAAGGTAAAAGTTCAATATTATTATAATACTCCCTCTAATCCTAAAGTCTTCTTGTTTTGACATTTTGTCAAACAATGAAACTCTTTTACCAGAAATTGCAAGAAAAACATATTGAATTATACTCTGTAATATAAATCCAATATAATTAGATTCATCTTAGAATATAATTTTGATATATCAATTTTTTATGACATTTATTTATTTAAATAATGTTTAGTTTATGGCAAAAATTATCACTCTTTGACTAAAAAAGTCAAATCAACAAGAGTTTTTAAAACGCGAGTATTATTTACGTGCAAATATAGTTATACGGAGTAACAATCGTAGTAGTGCATTCATAACTGTAAAAGCCAAAGTTTACAGTATAAAAACAAAACCTAATGATATCAATTTACATTATAATTAATTGTATTTTTTACACAAAGTAGTAACAAAATAATGGGACGGAAATATGTTTATAATGACACTTACACTTGGTCAAAATTTTACAGATGTGAAGTAAGAGAGCCTTAAAGGGATTCCAACATGAGGATTCATAATGCAAATGCAGTGTAGATACAATGAATCATTTCTCAATGCCCTGTTGAATGTACTGAATCACATCATACCAAGCAGTAGTCAACTTGTTATACGCATCGACGCACGTCCGAATCATGAAGGCAGCTGCTTCACGTTCGATCATTTCAGGATGGAATCTCTTGCGGAGATTCCCTATCGGATCCCCCCTGCTGAAGCAAGGCAACCCGCTGTCTTTCATCAGCAGCACTGTATTTATTATCTCATCTTTGTAGCGCCGTGCGGCCAGATACCCTTTCACACACAAGCTGCAACACCAAAAACATAAACGGTTCATTTAGCAGATACATAGTATTTAGACTTTCATTTTTATCCACTTTTGGTGCACGGCAACGAATTTCTTGTCGATTTATAATAAGTTTCTGGAAATGATAAGACATTCGTGATCATGCACCAAAAAGTAGAAAAAATGAAAGTCGTTGACCAATTGAGGGAATGGCCTAATTCTTGTGGGACAAAAAAACAGATTTTTTCTTAAAACCTGTTGGAAGAACACATCTCACCTCACAAACTCATACCAAGAGTCACTTTTCATGCATCCTGATGGATCAATTAGTTGAGTCATCTCATGACTCAGTTTGAAGTGAGCGCTTTCGAATCGAATATTCCCACCCGGTGAAGTCTCCAGGATAAAGCCAAAATCAATATGAACAAGCCTCCCAACACTGCATTGACCAATGGCTGACTGGAATCAATTTCTTTTATCATACCAAACCCCATTTAGAACAAATAAAAAAGTCAAGAAATGTATTTCTTTGAGTGGTGCAAGAGAATACATAACCTTGTCCCAAAATACATGTCACATTTGCTAAGTCATCTCTTTTATTATAAGCATTGAAAATGCATGTCACATTTGCAATTCTTTAATTAAATAGCTAAGTCATCTCCTTAATTAATAAGAGACTATCACTTTTAGTGTATGACCCTTGAAAATGCTAATTAACCCAAATGAGGAAAATTTACAAAGAGATGGAAGGGTGTTATGATATTTATGGTTAAACCAAAAAATTGAGTAGTACATACTTGTCAAATAGAAGGTTTCCATTATGTCTGTCCTTTGGTTGAAGCAAAAGGCTAGCAACAGCATAGCCAGCACTACTAATGATGAAGTTCTTCCTGGCAGCTTCGAAGCCAGGAGAACCAACTGGTCCATAGTCCTGTTGAAACATCTCATATAATCCTCCATCATTTGTCTCTCCCATTTGACTTCGGCTCCTTGTGTTAGGTACAACCTGTACAAACCTTCCATGTTAACAACCGTTTACTTTCTAAGATATGGTAGTGCCCAATTTAGATCATTGACTATATGTTTATATCATTCAATTCAGACACAGGCTTTCTTTTTTACATTCAATGTGGTTATCTAATAAGTGATACACTATTTAGGGCCCACATATTTTTATAAGAATATTTTTGTTCTATTAAGTGGGGCTGTGGGGAAAGCCAAATATGCAGGAGAGTTGTAGTGGTTTTGAATTGTTGTCAATGACCGAATTGACTCCAAAAAAATATCAAGGACCACATTGAGCAATAGTGTATGGTCAAGCAACTAAAGTATTAACCGTTTACAAATGCCAAAAGCATCATGCTGATTTTTTTAATATTGACACTTGAAAAAGAGAAATGCATTCAAGCATATTCAGTTATAAATGAAAGACAGGAAACCATAGTTATAATTTAACCATTCTTTATTGCCGCTAGATAGGGAATACAACCATTACAGTTTAAAAACTTCAACTCCTTTCACTACTAACTTTACCTCAATTCCACTTTTAATTTTTAAAGTTCCAAAATCAGACCTAGAAAGCAGTGACATATTAAAATGAAAAGCAGACCTAGAAACAAAATCAAAGGCCAAACAAAATTCACCTCAATTATGCCTCTTTCTTGGCCAGTTGGGAGAACTCCGTAAGGAAACAGATACAGATTAAGCCCAACAGCTGCAAATATATCCTTGAGAAGGCAAATGACTTGTAGAGCAAGAACGTCTTGCCGACAATCATCCCCAACCTACAATAACAATGTTCAGCTTTAATTATGCAGACAAGTAGTGTGTGCGCGCCTGGTGTGTGTTGGTGGGCCGTGGGGGTATGGGTACTAAGGGTTTGTTCTCTTCGTCTGAACTTAGATCTGATCTGAAATTTTTAAGGTTGATCTGAACTGAAATTTTTAAGGCTCGTTTGATCTGAATGGATCTGATCCGATCTAATTGTGGTGTAACTTAAAGTTGTTGCTGATCTGCAATTGATCTGATTTTGATAAGCATAAGCAATAAGTAGAAAAAATAAGTTGAAGAGATCAAGGTCCAAGTGAGGATAAAAAATCTAATATTGTATAAAACAAAACTCCCTCCGTTCACAAATAAACTTCTCGTTCACTATTCACAGGGTCAAATTTTATTCACTTAGTTGGCCTATTTTTGTCACCCATTTGATAAAATAATATAGTCATGTCACCTCAAGTTTTGTAGATCTTTTGATATAGTTTTTTAATATGTAATTTTTATTTTTAAATTTTACACCATTTTTCATATAAAATGATTTAAAAATTACTTCAGTCAAACATCGTAACGCGCAATGGGAAATTTATTTGTGGACGGAGGGAGTATCTTTTTCCTTCTAGTCCCCTCTCTTTCACAGTTACCAATGCTAAGACACTAGAGGCTTCACTAATCTCACCTTGAATATGCATGCCTGGGGCTTTATATCATTTTCATCCCCATCTCGATCCACCACGTTAAATGTTATCATGATAGGAACCTTTGCTGCTGACTGTAAAGGAATTCCACTATCAACTTGAATACCTCTGACAAGTTTAGTTGGTGCAGTAGGTAGATAAAGGTCACTTCCTTGCACTTGGATTTTCTCTAATTCC